CCTCTTAAAGTTGAGGTGTGGCATTCTGGGAGTTCAAGTGCACACCTCTTAAAGAAAATTCTGGGGGTTGAGGTCCACACCTCTTAAAGTTGAGGTGTGGCATTCTGGGAGTTCAAGTGCACACCTCTTAAAGAAAATTCTGGGGGTTGAGGTCCACACCTCTTAAAGTTGAGGTGTGGCATTCTGGGAGTTCAAGTGCACACCTCTCAAAGTGAGAATTCTGGGAGTTGAAGTCCATACCTCTTAAAGATTGGACTAGTCCAGCCCCTGCCCGGTGCAGGCATCCACCAGTACGGGGTCCCCACAGGTGGCCCTCCAGAGAAGAAGTCCATCCCGCAGTCTCCCGGGGCTTTGAGCCCAGTCCCCTTCTGTCCTGACAGTCTCCTCTGCGCCCGCCCCGGCCCTTCCGTGTCCCCTTGGAAGTGGTGCCCAGAATTGGGCGCGGTCTTCCAAGGGGAGACTCCCCAGGGCAAACTGCAGTCGTAAGGCAGAGCTTGCGGAAAACATCAGAAGCGACGGGGCCGTTCCAGTTGGCGCTCGTGACAGCGCAACGTATAAAGCACACTTCAAAACATAAAAAATGACATAGAGGCATAAAAACGCACGTCAAGGCATGGAAACGTACATAAAAGCTTGGAAATGCAGAGAGAAGCAGGACAACACAGAAGAAGCAGGAAAAAAGCACATAAAACCACACTCAGAAGCATAAAAATACATATCAAGGCATAAAAAATGCACCTAAAAGCTTAAAAGCTCACACAAATACACATAGAAGCATAAAGACTCGCCTAAAGGCAACACGTGCACATCGAAGCGTTAAAATCATACATAAAGGGACGAAAACTCACATAAAGGCATAAAATTGGCACATAGAAAACAGGGTGGAACCTGGATTGTACCGCCATGTCCGCCATCTTGACTTTTTTGACCTTAGCCCGTGGAACCTCCCTCGCCCCGTTGCTCCCATTCCATTTCTCGGTTTGCAGAACCAGATACCGGGAAGACCTGCTTGCTGAAGGCCATGCTCAACCTTCACAACGGCCGGAACGACACCATTCCCCTCTTGCTGGAGATCGCAGAGAAAACAAAGAACCTGAAGGAGTTTGTGAATGCTGGCTACACAGACAGCTATTACAAGGGTAAGGACGGGCAAAGAACAGCGGTTCCTCAAGGCCTCTGAAGCTCCAGGAGGCATGGAGAGGCAGGGTGGGAAGGGACCTCAAAGATCATCTAGTCCAACCCCGGATCGGTGCAGTTATCCACTACCGCAGTGGCCCCGACTGACCCATGGCCACCCAGACTCTACCTGACACATTTCCGTAGAGATCTCAAATCAGGAAGCAAGTTCTGAGAGGCCCCCAGATAAAGCAAGAGCCACCTTGGTGCCTCCCTTCCTTGATGCGCCTTCCCGAAGTGCCACCATCCCTGCTGGGTTTCCAAAACGGGCCTTAACAACGGGCCTTTTTGGACACCTTTTCCCCTGAAACCTCAGCTGGGGTGGGAACCTTAGCCTGCCCCCCCTCTGCCAAGGTGAAAGGAGAGGACAGAATCACAGACTGTAAGGGTGGTAGGGACCTCGGAGGTCATCTAGACCAGCCCCATGCCCCCTCATAGTCCTTCCCTCTAAAGCCACACCACTCTCTTTTTTCTTAAATTTATATCCTGCCTTTCCTTCGGGGCTTGAGGCACTCTACACAGTGGTCTCTTCTATTTTTCCCCACAACAACCTGTAAGGTAGGTCTGGCTGGGAGAAAGGGACTGCTATAGAGTCCCTGGGGGAGCTTCCATGGGCGGGGCTGGACTTGAATGTGGGTCTCCCCACTGCCCATCCGGCCTCTTGACCACAACCCCACACCGGCTCTCCGTTTGGCCTCGTTGCCTCCCACCCCTTGCCCTCGGGCTGCCAGAAAATATGGAAGATGGCCACTGCAACCCCCAAGTTGCCCCGCTGGGTTCTCGCCCTCCCCTCAGAAATGTCTCGGTGGTGAGTTTTCCCCCGTCCTCGAACGGACGCCTCCGCAGGTCAGACGGCCCTCCACATCGCCATTGAGAGACGCAACATGTATCTGGTGAACCTCTTGGTCAAGAACGGGGCGGACGTCCACGTGAGAGCCCACGGGGAATTCTTCCAGAAGATCAAGGGGAAGACTGGATTCTATTTCGGTAAAATCGGGTGCCAACTTTGGAGTTCTTGTGCCCGTCCGAAAAAGCCCTCG